TTCGTTCAAGGCTTTCAAGATCCCTTGATGTATAACATTGTTAGGGTAACCTCTGCGGTTGAGTTTAAGTTTGAGTACTGTTAGCGATTTCTTTAGTTCTTCTGGTGTGCTAGAAATTCTTTTGATACGGAGTGCCTGGTTAAAAGGTAAATTATTAATGGTATGAGTTGGATGACAGCTCGTATAGTGTAGGTAAAAAAAGGAATCTGTGGGTTTGGTATAAAGTTTGGTTTGAATCTTGTGATAAGAGTCCCGGTAGATAGTGACATCGAGAAAGTTAATGGAATTGAGACTGTGTTCTAAGGTGAGCTTGATGCCAAGAGTATGTTGGTTGAGTCCATCCATGAATGAAAAGAGTTCATCTCGAGTGGAAGGCCAGATGAAAAAGATGTCATCAATGTAGCGCCACCAAACTGTAGGTTTAATACTGGCTGTTTTGAGATAGTCCGTTTCTATTTTATCCATAACTATTATCGCTATGTTGGGTGCTGCTTTGGTTCCCATACTGATGCCTGAAATCTGGTGATAGTATTTTCCATTGAATTTGAAAGCATTCTTTTTTAATATAAAGTTAAGAAATCTTAATAAGATCCATGTGTGTATGGTTTGATCATCGCGTTTTTGAAGAACTTCTTTGCAGGATATCTTGGCTAAATTGTGTGGAATGGAGGTGTAGAGACTGGATACATCCGCGGTACATAGAATATAATTGGCAGGAATATTTTTAATATTCCTTAATTTGGTAAGGAAATCTGTGGTGTCTTTAATATATGATTCTGACGCCATGGCTAAGGGTTTTAGGTGAAAATCTAGGAATTCAGATATTTTTTCGGTAGGTGAGTTGACCGCTGAGACAATCGGTCTGCCTGGATTGTTGATTTTATGGATCTTCGGGAGCATGTAAAAAAAATAGGTGTTCTTGGATGTTTCGTTCGGAGATATTTGATCGTTTGTAGAGGTAAAAGTTCTTTTTTTGAAAGGAAAGTCAGGAATTTATCAATCTCATCATTGATTTTATTAGTGGTATCTATACGGAGTGGTTTGTAAAAAAGTGCGTTGTTTAATTGACGAATTCCTTCTTTGATGTAATCTTCTTTATTCATTAATACTATTTTCCCGCCTTTGTCTGCTGGTTTGATGATAATATCTGTATTATTACCGAGTTGTTGTAGGAGTTTCAAGTGTGTAGTTTTCAGAAAAGATCCATAAAATCAACAATCCAGGCAGACCGATTGTCTCAGCGGTCAACTCACCTACCGAAAAAATATCTGAATCTACTCGTCAAATCTGATATACCCAACAAAGACAATATCAAACCTCACGGCTGTAACAGATGTAAGAGGAATTGCATCTGCTGCAAGTTTTTATTAGAATCAACCGAAGTAATATCCAGATATAATGGCAAAATTTACAGAATCAATAATCACCTTGATTGCAACACTAAATTCATCATTTATCTAATTACCTGCAAAAACTGTAGAATACAATATGTAGGCCAATCCGGCAACTCTCTAAGGGTCCGTTTATACGGACATAACAACGATATTAAAAAGTTCAACGACACCCCTGTAGCTAAACATTTTAACACCACGGGACACCAATTCCAGGTACAAATTGTCACGAAAACGTCACGTAACACCAACGTCAGATTACGTCACGAAGAATCCATTATTGACCTCCTAGCAACCCAAGCGCCTGGAGGTTTGAATGAACAAAACTAACCAAGCAAGAAGATGTTTGAATGTCCATTCTGCAATAAGGAATTTTTAAACGCCAGTAATGATAAACGCCATATAAGAAACGTTTACAAAGTACAAAAAAAACGCAAGCCAAGAATGAATGGAATAATTTATAAGAAGTCTGCCGCTAAACAACAGATTTTCGCCACCAATACAACTACCACTAAGAATGATACTAATACAGATAAAGAAGTTACGGCAAATACGATTCACCCTGAAAACATCACTGACGAAGCCATAGAAGTCCGGCCTCCAACAGACTGGATCCGGCCTTTCGAATCCCGGCCGAAATACGTTTATATTAACGGCTTCAAACACATATTAAAGGTCAGAAATAAGCAATTTATCACAAAACCAGTAGAAGAAGATCCTCCAGCCCTGTCGAGCCCATCAACGAATCCCACCAACATAAAATCAAATGAGGAAGAAGAAACAGCCGCTGCAACAGTAAAAATTTGAACCATACTCTCAAATTATAATTTTTCTTATTATCTTAATAATTATTCATAATCTTTTAATCACTATTTTATATTACATTTGTACATAGTTAAATTAAACAATCCTTCTTTTTTAACAATCCTAATTTTAACAATCCTATTTTTAAAGATCCTGCATTGTACATATAATAAATTTAAAAATCCTGTGACGTCACCACCTTTATTATATATAAGGCGTCACAGGATCATTATAATTTCAATCTTGATAAAGGGTACCACACCCGAAACGTTGATTTATTAAACGATCCTCTACTTCTACAAGTCTGTTGTGGTTATCTGTTGAGCGGGGATTCTTTAATTCTATTCTCTACTCCGGCCCGCCGGTATCATTTTTTGATCCAGCTACCACACAGATGTACCAGCCTGTCCAGCTATAATAACTCTCTAAGGGAGTGTTGCCGTACCCTTTTCCTGTTTTCCAAAAACAATAATAATTAAAAATATAGCCAAGGAATGTAATTATTAGAACCTCTACCCAACTCTGAAAATTGTAGCCAATCAGCAACGACCCCATTAAACATGGCGGTGGATACAATATTTTCTTGTGGTATTGAGATCTATCAACGAAGACGGGCTTGTTTTTGTTCTATATACAAAGAGACTTTATATAAAATGAATACAATTCATAGAAATTTACATACAATGCCATAATTTGTGCTTTAAGGTCTATGAAAGCCCAATATTGATATATCTATTTTTTAGCATGGACCACAGACATCCACACGTGTTAATTTTACTTATAACTTACATTGTTACAAGGCACATGGTCTTACACAGATGTAGTTTGAGCTTGCACTATCTTGTACGTATTAAATCTAAAGTAAAAGGACGAATTCGTATCTAAATAAATGATTATTTTGTCTGTTCCTTATTAGGGAAATGATTTTGATGTCATTTACATAGTGTATCCCATTGCTTTCTATCATAAATTTAAACAACTAGTAATTTCTTAATTCTGGTTCAGTGTTGTGTTTAAAGCAAGAAATGAAAACATTTATTAGGGCTACCCAGCATTTAAATTATAGGGTCTATTCGACTACCTGCAAGCTTAAACATTTGATACATGTAAATGCTGATATTAATGTGATCTTGTTATACCACAATAAATACATAAGATAGGTTGCCAGGCAACGAAACATACGCCCACAGCAACTAAATCGTCCGGGCAGTCCACAAGGGTTGTCGCATATTTTTACTTTTTTGGGTAATGAAACATTTATAATACACTAAAATCTGATTAAGAGCAACAACTCACGAAGTAATTATCAGAAAACTATTAGAATTTGTTTGGTTTTTATTATAAAGTTGTACCCCATGCTAATGTTTTGTATGCAAAGCTTTTAATATCATGGATTTAACTGTTCAAGTCATAAACATTCATTGAAAATCAATATACTTGTTCGTCTCAAGATCTTAAACTCTGTGTATCAATCTGAAGTCAATCGGATGATAACTTTAGCCTTTAGAGCGTCACAAGATTTTGCAAAGAGATCAAGGGCCATAACTTTGGCAGTAATTATCGGAAATCGTTGAAAATCAATAGGAATCTTCGTCTCATGACCTCAAACACTGTGTATAAATTTAAACTCAATCGGATATTAACTTTAGCCTGTAGAGCATCCACAAGATTTTTTGAAGTAATCAAGGGCCATAACTCTGGCAGTAATTATCAGAAATCGCTGAAAACCAATAGGCTTCATCATCTTATGACCTTAAACATTGTGTATAAATTTAATGTCAATCGGATATTAACTTTGGCCTTTAGAGCATCCACAAGATTTTTCAAAGTGATCAAGGGCCATAACTCTGGCAGTAATTATCGGAAATCGTTGAAAATCAATAGGTTTCTTCGTCTCATGACCTTAAACATTGTGTATAAATTTAAAGTCAATCGGATATTAACTTTGGCCTTTAGAGCATCCACAAGATTTTTTGAAGTAATCAAGGGCCATAACTCGGGCAGTAATTATCAGAAATCGCTGAAAACCATTAGGCTTCATCATCTTATGACCTTAAACACTGTGTATAAATTTAATGTCAATCGGATGTTAACTTTCGCCTCTAGAGCATCCACAAGATTTTTTGAAGAGATCAAGGGCCATAACTCTGGCAGTAATTATCAGAAATCGTTGAAAATCAATAGGTGTCTTCGTCTCATGACCTTAAACATTGTGTATAAATTTAAAGTCAATCGGATATTAACTTTGGCCTTTAGAGCATCCACAAGATTTTTTGAAGTGATCAAGGGCCATAACTCTGGCAGTAATTATCGGAAATCGCTGAAAATCAATAGGCTTCTTCGTCTCAAGACCTTAAACACTGTGTATAAATTTAAAGTCAATCAGATATTAACTTTAGCCTCTAGAGCATCCACAAGCATTTAGATGATTTTTGGTGATTTTAAACAATTTTTACGAATTATTAAACAGAGATTTGATATTGAATGAATGTGAAAGAAATTAGTGCTAAATACACTAGATTAAGTAATACCCAGGTTGCAGTGTAAGTCAGCACAACAGGGGGTTGGGAATTTGGATGCTGTGAACTAAATAACTTGAATAAACCATGTAATATGATAATTTCTTTAGTTACAGATCATCTAAACACCTTTTTCCTTACACAAAACACAGTTTTTGAAAACATTACTCGGCAGACTGAAGGGGGGTGCATACCCACCTTTTTCAAGCAAAGGGGTGTAAGTGTACACCCCAATGGCCGAAACTCTGCCTTTAACTTAACAGTAAGCTAACTTATTTCACAAAAGGATATGGAATTAATTCGTCTGAATCTACCAATACAAGTTCATCTGTAGCATCTTCTAAATTTTGTACCTCTTTCTACAACACAATCAAATTAGATTAGATATAGTTAAACAATGCAGTATTTCAAGATCAAATGTGTTCAAGTTTGGTAATTCCGAGGCACATTTTGCATCCCTGTGTTGATTATAAAGTAAGGCAGTACACCTTCTCTAAATTTATTTATGTGCAAAGTTACATTAAAATGAATTAAAAGCCAACAGTAAGGCTGATGTCCTCCCAGTGAAACTATACTATTCAAAAAAAGTAGGGGATATTTGATTTTTAAGTGTTATTAAAGTCACCTAATGAAACTGACGAAGAAACAAATGACAAAATGAAATGAAGTTCACATTCATCGATTTATTCCAAATGATCGTTAGACTAAGTAAGGCACAGACTGACCATTATAAGGGTAAAATGATATCCGGGGTCAAACAGCAAAGTTACCACAGCATCACAACCAAGTCAGTAACGGGTAAATCCTCCTCTGTTTGCCAAACAAGCATTGATCCGACGTGGCATACTCCTAATGAGACGTCTAAGGTCATTTTGGTCCAGATTGTCCCATTCCTGTTGCAACGCAGCAGCAAGTTCTTGGACATTGGCAGGACGTTGTTGACGTTGACGTAACCTCTGTCCAAGCATGTCCCAGACATGCTCGATGGGGGAGAGGTCGGGACTCAGTGCTGGCCAAGGTAATGTGGTGATGTTCTGTTGTTGGAGGTAACCTGTAACGATCCTGGCCCTGTGACATCTTGCATTGTCATCCTGGAAGATGAAACGGCGGCCATGACGTCGTGCGAACGGCACAACATGGACTGCCAAGATGTTGTCCCGGTAGTACTGGCCTGTAACACGCCCTGCAACAACATGTAAAGCCGTTCTTCCAGCAACAGTGATGCCTCCCCACACCATAACAGAACCACCCCCAAATCGATCATGTCTGATGACGTTAACGTCTTGGAAGCGCTCGTTTCGACGACGCCACACCCTCCTACGTCTGTCCAAAAAATCAACAGTGAACCTTGACTCATCTGAAAACATCACATTGCCACAATGACTGTAACATTCAAAGTCAGAGTCGTGCAAATCTTGGGTTGGACCCCCATGATGATCCCAAGCATCACCTGCATTCCATGCGGTAGCTATTGGTGCGTTTGGGCGTCACATGTAACTGGAAATGTTTCTTCTGTTAGGTTCTATAGTGACTTTTTTCGTAGTCATTTGCATATTTTAGTATTATGCCCCCAAAATCAAATATCCCCTACTTTTTTTGAATAGTATATATACAAAATAGTCCGGGAGCCCAGTGAGATTTAATCAAAATATTGAGTCCAAAAGGTTTGAGGTTTACAACTCATATTTTTTACAGCTAGTTACACATTTACTAATTAATGACAAGTGTATAATTTCTAATCACTTTCTATATATCGTCGATCGGGAGTCAAAACCGCATAACTCGGCTTTTTGCGATTTTCGTGTTTTTGCTTAAATCGACAATTCCCGCAGTGATACATACTGCCTAAAAAACTTGTACGTCTACACCAATAAAATTTGGCGTAAAAGTCACATGAGCAAAACCTTGTATTTCGATTGGTTAGAACTGATGCGCGCCAAAACCACGTACCTTGCATTCGACCACGTGTTAGCCTGAGGAAGCCTTAGACGACGTCCAAATAGAGTTAAATGGTGTATTTTGGTAAGTTTTATTACTATATGCTTGATATTTTAAACATAAACTAAGATATATATTACTTCTGGTGTGATATGAATTGGTTTTCGAATTAAACTTTTCCCCTAATTTGTTTAATGAGGACAATTGTGTCAGATTTTGGAATTTTCAAATTTGGCATATTGTATGACTGACAGAAGTAAATTGTGTCTTATAGAATGTGTTATATGAGAACAATCTAATAGAAAATGCTTTGACAACGTCCTATTTTGAGTCTGAATCAGAGTTACGTGTTTTTGCATTCTCCTAATTTGTTTTAATTATATCGACTTACGTGGTTTTGCACATATCCCTCGACAAGTCAAATGAAAGAATGAATGAAAGAAAATGGGTTTAACGTCCTACTTTTTGTTCCAACACGGCTAATAAAGACGGGCATACGACATGCAATGTGCTACGGGGGAAATTTTGCCCGGACATCAATAGAATTCCAACTGTAAATGGTTCTTTTACGTGCACACCAATCTATAAACGAGGCCTCTGTTTTTCGTCCCATCCTAACGACTAGACCATCGAACCCCAGGCCTCTTACTTAGTGAGACAGAGCCTTACTCACTGACCCACCTTGGCTGCGGTAAATCAAATGAAAGAATAGATTATAACAATTGACATCATATTTTTTTTTTAATTTCTGAATCACAATGATCTCAAATAAATTCAGCAACTGGACATTTACCAGAGGCGGAGCATGTGTCCGAATGGCTCTACAACAGGCTAGTACAACCAAAGAACCATCTGCCCCGAATTTTCAACCACAGAGTAGGACATCTAATCTTTATTCGTCGGCCAGCGATCCTAATCCTTTGACAAGTAAACGTCGCTGTTTTACTATCAATCATAGTCCGAATAACTCTGGTGATTCTGAAGATATATCTGATGCTGAAGACCCGGAATGGGTTCCAGAAGCCAAATCATCGAAATGGACCCTCCCATTCGAAACAATCCCTGCGCAATCACCAAGTATTGAAATGACCTGTTTAGAAAACGCTTCTGATCTTGATTCCTCTACTGACAACGATCCAGTTGTCCCGAATGAAAATCCCATGAATGTGTACAATTCAAGTACAAAACTTAGCCAAAGACGAATAAATTATTTAGCAAGGATGCAGGGTCAGTTGTATAAGAAAACCACAGAGGGAAAACACACTTATTCTATGGTCAAACAACCCAAGGCTATTTACCTCGAGGTTGTAAACCATCCTGCAAAAAGAACAAGCAGACCCGGTGTGATGAATTCACAGACAAAGACCGACAGATTATTTCTGATGGTGTTTGGAAAATGGATTGCAACCAAAAAAGAGTTTTTATTTCCAGTAATGTTGACTCTGATAAACCTGCAGAAAGAACGACAATGGCAGAACAGTCCAGAAGAAAACGAACCCTCACATACCATCTCAAAAGAGAAGATAACCGAATTCGTATTTGCAAATCTATGCTCCTATCAACAACTGGAATTGGAGAATGGCAGTTGCTACAGTGGACTCGAGAATCTTCATCTCAAACCTCATCTTTGCTACAAACCACCCCCAATAGAAAACACGAGAAGAATGCAATTAACCGACAGTTTGTAAAGGACTTTATAGGAGATCTTCCAAAATTGCCTTCTCACTACTGCAGGTCATCTACATTTAGATTATACTTGCAACCAGTTATGCCATCATTTGCCAAATTATATGAGCGGTATATTGAGTATTGTGCCGATAAAAGTGTCGCCAGTGTTTCCATAAGAGTATTTAAAGAGGTCATAGATGAAGAAAAAGTTTCGATCTTCCATCCTCAAAAGGATCAGTGTGATGTTTGTTGTGGCCATGACACTGGTAATGTCACTGAAGAAGTATATTTAGAGCATATTGAAAAGAAGACACAAGCCAGAGAAGAAAAGATTAGAGATAAGGAAAGAGCTGTTCAGAATGAGTGTAAAGTGATCACGTTAGATTTACAGGCAGTTTTGTTAGCTCAATCTTTACAAGCAAGTTCAATGTACTATAAAACAAAACTTGCATGCCATAATTATACAATTTATGATCTGGCATCTGGAAATGTATATTGCTATTTTTGGCACGAGGGAGAAGGGGGTCTGGAAGCAAATCATTTTGCATTGTGCCTCTTTGATTATATTAACAATATTATTGACTCTGCCGGTGAACGACTTAGCATTTATAGTTACGGGTGTATGAACCAAACAAAAATTGCATATTAGCCAACACGCTCCTCTATATTGCGATTTCTAGAGGTATAATCATATATCAGAAAATACTTGAAAAGGGCTACGCACAGATGGAGTGTGACTCCATCCACTCTACGATTGAAAGAACCATCCGTCGCAAACCAATTTATGTTCCAGCTGATTATGTTGATGCCATCAAACGAGCCAGACCATAGTCAAATATCTAGATCATACGTTTTTCAGCGATTTTTCCAATTTGAATTACTACAAGTCAATTCGACCCGGGATGAACGTTGGGGATAAAAATGTAGCAGACTTGCGCGTTCTTAAATATACACCAGACGGGACAATTCAGTTTAAAACAAAGTATTCCGACGAGTTCGAGTCCTTGCCATCACCGCGCAAGTATAGGAAGTCACAAAGTACCAGTGCTATTTTACAAATACAACCATTTTACACATCCTGTCTATAGATCAAAGCTTCAAAGTTAAACATTTGTCAGAACTTAAAGCTGTTATGCCCCGCGATTATCATGGATTTTACGATAGTCTAAAACATGACTAAACAAAACGTTGTCAATTACATGATTGCGTTATTTCACTGGTCGGTAGATAAGAAATATTATTTCGAATAAGCTACAAGTTAAGTTATAAAGCATAATAATATAATTATCTTGGTTGATTTACAATGTCATGTGTACCATTTGTTCTGAATGAAATAAAGATGATTTAATTGTGCTATCTATCTTGACACACCAGAGAGCTAACTGTTAAGGGTTCTTTAACGTGCACGCCAATTTGTACACTGGGCCTCAGTTAATCGTCCCATCAGAACGACTATACACTGTCACTTGCCAGGCCAACATGTACACAACATTCGGTTTTTCGACCCTCCCGAAAGACTACACATATCCTTACCAGGAACTTTGTCGTGTTCCACTGAAAGGGGAAAATAATACACTGGAAAATCCTGTGGTTGTTTCTCGGCCAACACAGGAATCGAACCCTGGACTTCCTGGTTAGTGATCATGCGCCTTACACATTGTATGTATATAGTTCTGCATTAGGTAAAACCTTGTAGCTCGACAACCACTTGAAAATCGTAACTCAAAATCTCGTAAGTCTGAAACTAGGCAAG